CACTCCGGAGATCTGTATGAGGTGTTCGGGACGTACTATCTGTTCGGCTTGCCGGTCCGTGCGCCGGAGGATATCTATTATACCAATATGGTACAGGATATGTGGGCAGCCTTTGCCAGACGCGGAGATCCGAATGTTGATGAGGGGTATCTTCGCGCAAGGGGATACTTCAGCAGCCTGAAGCTTATGGAAAGGTGGCAGTGGGATGAGTTCACGGAGGGAAGTGGAAGTAAGAACGTGGCTAATCTGCAGTACCCCGTGCCATTTTACTCGGGATTGCCTTATATGGAAGAGTGTGCTGTTTTGGGCCTGGAACATACCAATTAGAGAGATATAGTGTATTTTGTTAGATATGATGTTCAGATATTCACTCTACTTAGCCATTGTAACTTCATGTACAGGCGATGACTAGTTGTTCTCTTTCCCAAGCCTTTGAAAGCAAAATTGTACTTATGTTATTGTGGGCGTCATGGACCCCGTGGACCCGCCTATCCTACCGGTGCAAATAGAAAATCGATATGTTAAGCTAGGAGCAAGGTAATGCTCCACACATTCTACCGTGTGCTCCCCGATTTTCCAGGACTCAGAAAAGGAGCCAAAGGAATAAGGCCTATACCTGGAATTAGGGTACCAGAGGGTTATATCGACCTGTTCGACAGGAGGAAGGACGCCTCAGTTGATGGGATGTGCTCTTCGTCGAAGATCGGGCAAAAACAGGGCGCGGAATGTTCGAAGATATGTGTGGAGGCTGAGGCTTTAGCCTAACATGAGTTGAAGGAATCCAAATGTTTATTTCTCACGAAAGGACGGTTATGAGATTTGTTATGCTGTCGCTGATTTGTGTTGGTAGTCTATGATATCTTTGCGGTCGTCTCCACTTGGTCTTTCAAGCAACTACTATGTCTCTTCCCCAAAATAAGGTCAAGTCGTAAGATAAGCATCAGTAGCTAGTATACACTGTCAATATCTCAGCTATCTAAATCGAAGATCTTGGAATGTTTCGCCTCTCGAGACTCTCCTATACCATTCCATAACCACCCATAATAGCAACAACCTCAAATTCCCAGCATTAGAAGGCCACCATATCTCCGTCTGCAAAATCTCAGTGCTTCATTCAATAAGGCTTCCATATACGTATAGGCAGTGATCAGTCCATTCCATCTCTCTTACCTCGGATTCACATATTCAATCGAAGATGACTATATTCCCTCCTTCATCGACATCACCGAGACTGGCATATTCATTACTCCCTAATACTAGCACTCCTGGACTATTCACAAAACTATGCTCTCAATGAAGCCGCTCGGTCAACTTCCTACCAATATTCATCGTCTAGATAGTTTTCCTTCACCAGCTTGCTATCACCATCGCATCCAGTAGCCCTCGCCCTTGGGGTATAAAAATCTCTCTCATTTCTGATCTCAATCTCTTTCTTCTTCTCATCTCTAACGCCTTCTTATATTTTCTTATATTTCAATCTTCTCTCTTTTGATCAAGAACTAAGAATAAGCAACAATAAAAGTAGAGATTCGTTATCTTCTATGTACATACAATCAATACTAGCATATAGCGAGCCTTGCCCTAACATCGATTGACGGCTTACCCTAAGGACTGAGCCTAGGACACCAACTATATGTTGACAGATAGCAAAATCACAGGTAAGAGTTTTCACGCAGACAGTCTGATAGACTATCTTCTTCAGTTCCTATCTTGGCGGGAGTTGCTAGCTAATAGGCTTTCTCGTGTCGCGTATGCTGTTCGAGTCAATCAATTGAGAACCAGATGCATGCGCATATAATGGTTACGTTATACTAAAAGCTAACGTCATAGAAGTACATGAGTCTGTATTACTTTATGCTGTTATGTCCAACAGGGCCTAAGGATCCCAAGATGGTCCATCGTGTGACTCCTCTTTCGAGGTTTTTCACGCCCTTAGAAGAAGGAAAGGCAAAACAGGGTTAAAAAGCCACATCAGAACAAAGCAGTAAGCGCTTGTTTTCACAAACAAATTAAGCGTATACAGCCTTATATTTACAATAGGTACAATGGCTCCCGGGAAGAAAAGTCTTATAGCTTAAATGTGGATAAACCTATATGAATGATCTTCCAGATCATCTTCTGGGGAAAGGCCTTTCTCGAGGTGGAAAAATCAGAAGGTAAGTTCTTTCTAATACTCTATCTACAACAACTACCATCTGGTGTTCTTGTAACCTCGTGATATATGTATCCTATCCTTCTTTTATGTACAGCATGATGAAGTCCAAATTCCAGTCATTCGACCATTGAGGATCTTCTCTATTGGATGTCTACTTCCCTTCTAACGCCATAACTGTATAAAGATATATCTTTCCAAACCTCGACGAAAACAATCGGTTTTTTTAATTGTTTTTTAAGACAATTAAAAGGTAAGTTTTCTCGAAATGCCCTCTTCAAAGGCCCAAAAGGTCAAATAGGTTGAGAATCAACCCAGCATCAATGGCTACTTCAAGAGGAAGCAGGATGAGGTCAGGGACCCCATTCCAGCTACATCTCGTCCGATCAAACGTCACGAGGTCTGCGACCTTAATTATGGCTCGGATGGGGATTGCAGGGGTTGCAAGGATAGTGTCCAGAAAGTACAGCTGCCATCAGGTAGGTAAAAGTGTTCGCAAGATGGACAGTGCCCAGAGGGCCTCAGCTTCACGCCTGGAGTAAGAGGATAGTGAGACGGAAAGTTTCAGTAACGCGTACTATAGTTCAGATGAATACCTTGACCTCATCATTGACTGGAACTGGACGTTGTCAACGAAGAAGTTGGATACAATGAGTACATTGTCGGGTCAGACGACGTCGATGGTGAGGCTATATTCGATGAAGTCATAGGTGATTGATTCAAAAACTAGCCTTGCTGTACCTGTCAATACGGACACAGCCTTCGCAGATATTCTGCAGAGTCTACTTGTCTGTTTGATGTCATGTGCATCTAGTAAAGATGTTACAATCATGTCTGAGGATCTTAAGCCAATAACAGTTGGTTATTGGAGACTCCTTGATAGACTGTCAATGGACTTCTGCCGTGAATCCTAGAGGGAAATTCTGGGGAAGCCTGATGTTATCAGAGAACCAAACGGTAATTGCAATTAGGTGACTTTAATGTCCCTTTCTCTTGTCAATGGCAACAATCGACAAGAAGTCTATGCAAACTTTTCAACTGGTGGTATATATCATCCGACCAAAGCTGGTTGCGATACTTATATCGGTGCAACTAATTAATCAATTTCAGCGTCCAGTATCGCAGCACATGGAAATGGCAAGAGGATACTCGTCCAACCAGAATGCTAAAACCTTGCATTACCGGCAAATTAGTCGGAAGGATGTTCAGACTAACTTATGGGAATCTTTGAACGGTCTTTGGTATTCCAATACAACGAGCGATATCTATTGACACTTGAGAGTACATTCATGATATATAACAGTACATACCGTTTCCCAGCTATACTTACTTCAATGTGGGCTACCGAATCCTTATATGATGTATTAATGGTGTTTCTTCGAGAATGTCTAGAACTCCTATCTGTGACATAGTGTGGAATGAAAGCTTAGCTTTCATACCAAGGATTCTTTGATGAACGTGCAAGGGTATCGTCTCCGTGCATTAATTCAGCATATAGGGTTGGAATATATGTCAACTCTTTGCTTTCAGATGAGAATATCTCACGAGCTGAATATCAGAATGCTGGGATTTTCTCGACTAGCCTCTATGGCTACGATGAAGTAAAGGATTATTAGGCCAAGCACGGTGGCGCGAGCTGCTCGGCAGATTATCATTACAGAAAGGGGACTGGTCCTTGCACATCAAATCAAGGGAGCTTCGGGGGGATTTGGGAGTGTTAGATAATAATGGAGCAAGCTGTCTTCTATGGGCTGCACTAACTTACCTTAATCGGAGATTTACATTATATGAACTGAATTTCGTGCTATGCCAGCCCTTCATTAATCCTTTCCCAGGCCACCGACAACTCTTCGTAGACATTCAGCCTTTTTTCGACGTAAATACGCCTTGATATCGGATCTGGACCTACGATGTTCAAATTGGATTTGATAGCTCCATGTTTGCTCCAGTTTGTCAGTGGAACAGATGAAAAGTGGCTCCCGTAAATTAATATTTCAATATCGTAGTCTTAGACTTCCGGTCCATCATGCTATAATGCCACGTCACCGTCATAGGATATAGATGCTGGTGATCTTCAACTTCAACTGTGTCAATGATTCACAATGAAGATTCCATGCAGCAAGATCATGGCATATCTTCATCCTGGTCTGCGGACGGAATTTATGAAGTTGATGCAGAGACAATCAGGTGGGTTAGAATAGAGATAGTGTTTCGATCTCTGGTCCATTATATCTAGGCGACACGTATATAAATCGATGTATAAAATGCTCTGACGCCTGTGACTGTAGGACTCAAGAAGTCTCTGACTGGTTAGAATTATATCTGCTAATATTGATAGAGATCGATCATAATTTTGCTCCAACTTATTGGTTTGTAATGGGATGAGTCGTCTCAAGATTTGTGTATGCTTCCAAGCCTCACTTCATCGAAGAATAGAAGAATCTCCGGGTGACCCAATTCGGAGGACTGAGAGTCGAGTCTGAGCACTGAAAAGAGAAATTATACAACAAGATGTGCTGGAAACTGTCGGTTGAATCAAGGTGTCAGATATAGAATTGCACAAAAAAGGGTCGGGCTCGGATCCATTCAAGGCATCCGAAGGGATCGGTAGAACCGTAATCACAAATCTGGAGAGTAAAGAAAGAGGATGAAGGATATGAGGCTGAAGGGAGAGGCCACGAAAGGCAGGGTGTCAGGTGATTTGCGTCTTCTTGCATGTCAGACTTTCGTCTCAGCTACTACGATCATCACCACCATCACCATCACCATCACTACTACTACTACTACTACTACTACTACTACTACTACTACTACTACTACTACTACTACTACTACTACTACTACTACCATGCCTGGTACTACTACTACTACTACCATGCCTGGTAAGTACTACCTCAGAAGATCCCACATCATCTCATACTTATCAACCCGTACTTACTGTCTCCTTTTTAGCCAACGAAGTGAGTACACTCCCAAATGCCTCGTATCCATATTCCCCTCACTTCCAGTCATTGACGGCGGTGTTTATTCGAGTATATAACATCACTCACTATCCTTCATCCTTCTCACCGCAATATTTCTCACTTGTCATATACTTGGCCCTGATGCTGACCGATATTCATTGTAGGAGCAGCAGCAGCAGCAACAGACCGGGCCGGGGCCCGCCGAAATCGTTAGTACATGATATTATGTCTTCCATAATGATATGGTCTAATGATATACACATAGACCCCGGAGGAGGCCGCCGCCAAGGCGAAGAGGCGACGGGAGCTGATGGAGCAGTTTTTTTCGCCAGGAAGATGATTATATACGTCACCTCCTCGACCTCGAGGAAAGAGAGGCGTATTGGAGGGAGAGGGAGGAGAAACTGAAGAAGGAGCTGGAGGCCACTCAGGCATACCTCCGCCATATCCGGGAGGAGCTGGGGGAGTTGGAGGGGGTTACCGACGAGGACGAGGATGAAGACAACTAAATCTGAGAATTTGTTTTCCTTTCTTAATTTACTTCGAAACTTCCTGAGTAGATGTAGTCAGTCATATTCCAAATCTAGACGTAGCAAGACCCATTCGAACTACGAAGCCCGTAAGGATGTCCAACAGCCACTATTACAGTGATGCCTCCGTCCCCGAGACGGCCGCGGCACTGGAGCACCTTGCCCGTTGTCAGGTTCAACCATGCGGATAGCATCGCGCCGTATAATGGCGTGGTTGCGGTGACTGCTAACCCTCAGGTTGTTTCGGAGGAGGAGGTACAGGATCCTGCGTTTCGGAAAATCATGGAGCAGTGTGAAAATGTTGCGGAGCTGATTGGGGCTACAGCTCCGATTCGAGTGGATATACGACGGTTCAGCAAGGGATCTCCTTTCGCGCTCTTTGACATTAACATGAAGCCGGTAAGTCTGCTATGTTGTTTGTCTTGTATTGGGATACTTACGTGAGGATTGCTACAGAATTTGACTGGCCCCGGGCGTCCCGGGCGCGAAGATCGAGCAAGTTTGACTGCTCTGGCAGCGGCAGCTCTTGGCTGGGACTATGGGACTTTGCTGGAGAATATTCTACGGACGGCTCAGCCTTTCGATGTCTTTCGCAGTTATTGCAGTCCTTTAAAATAGTCGTAGATGGGTATTTTGAGGAGGACATATGTATATATTCGGACCTTATTAAAATATAATGAGTGTGGCTAAGAAATTAATTGAATGAGACGCTTGATGTAGAATGTAGAGATGACGTAGACAATCTAGGTATGCCACAATTATAATAATACAATTTTCAACTAAGGATATAATACGACTTCACGTTAGGGTGAAACACCTGTATAATATTGTTTGAAATTATTAGGTGTATTCGGACTTATACAAAATCACTATTCTTGGGTTAATTCTTGATACCATACAATTCCGACAGCCGCGTAATTTTGAAGTCATACGGAAATACTCCGCTGTTGTCAATCACCTTTCACGTTCCTCGGTTGGCCACTTCAAAAGAGATTAAACTGAACGCAGTGCAGCTTTTGTAGCAGGGTAAAACCCTTTGGCTGACCGTGATTAGATGTGGTCATCTTGGAATAAATGAGTTCCAAGAAAGAGCAGCTCTTGGTGACAGATCATTATGTATAAAATATTTTATCCATGCTATCCGAAGGTTTGACTTCCATAAGGATTACCAGTTCTTATCCCATGGAAATAGTCCCTTGTTTTCCTCATACTTGCCTCCTACCGGCCTATACATCGGCCACCACACAAATGGCAGCAACAACTCGTTCAACTCGTTACGCTTTGGAGTTTCGGGGAAGCTCGCTAGCGTGAATTCTCGTTGTCTCCCTTCTACAAAGCCCCATTTGCTGTATAGCTCACGCCCGATTTCCGTAGCATCTATGTAAGACTCCAGGTTCTTCTCTTCGGCCTTCTGAACACCCCACTCCATCAACATGTTGCCCACACCACGCCGTCGGTAGGTAGGATGCGTGAAGCAGATATCCAGGACTGAACACGTAATTGGATTATTAGTTATCTTGTCGGTAGAAGAAGCTACAAGAGGAACAGGGAAACGAACAGACATGCGGTTTGTTCATGTATGTCATTCGCGGAACGAGGAACTGCCCCATAAGTGCATTGGCAATATTACGGGCCTCGCCTGTAGGCCACCAATTGCACTCCTCGTCGGAAGTGACGGTATAAGGGTTGGTCTCGTAAATGTGCCAGCAGGCAGCGCCAACGATTTTGCCAGACTCCACATCGATCACCTTAATCCATTGGCTGGAGGGGTCGGAGCGGTGCCAGTGTATTTGGCGCTTGACGGCATCCTGAATGGCTGTGTCGCGGGCAGTAGGTGAAGAACCCTGGATGGGAAAGAAGAGATTTTTGAGGTTGCATTGCGGATTCTCATAGGCATCAAATTCACATCGGACGAGTTCGTCGAATTCGGAGTCCGAAGCCACTACGGTCAGCTTGAAGGGCATTCTGTAAGACCGAAGTTGTCCAAAAAATCAGAGGATTTCTCTTTTCCTCGATGCTGTATGTCAGTGTTAGCCCTAAGGAGCAAAATATGGGGGATACGTCGTACGAAGTCGTTTTAGGGAGAGGGCGAGGGCGAGGCGCGGGGTAAATCAGTCTTTCTGGGTAACACTAGACGTTGCCAAGTGCGGTGTTGGATTGGGTTTTCTGTTGACCCGATTGCTGAGATAATAACGAGCTGGGATCACATATCTACTTGATTTTCTAGGACGGTCGATGGCCTACTCTTTCCGTTTTAGTGCTCACTCTTCGCTGCTTTTTGCTTACTGAGTAGATCTGAGTCACGCCCTGAGTAGTTTGAGGTGATCACTAAGCATAAAGTAAGTAGAAGACTGAGTATTCTAAATAAGTAATCTTAATAAATTATATTCTAACTAATAATTATTTTCTTGCCCGCTTCTCTACTTATAGTCTACTTTTTTCTATTATACTTCTTTAAAATCCAATACTACCACCAGATCTCTTTCTCTAGTAGAAAAATTGTCGAATGGCCGTGGTGGAACTAAACCTAAAAGAGAAGGCGGTCTAGTACCACTAGGCCTAATAAGATATGATCTTCCCTAAGCGGAAATATGTGGATCTGGTCAGATGACACTAGTCCCAATTAGGAAACTAGATATCAAAATAATAAAGGTAAATACAATTGACAAACTAGTCAAAGGGAAGCAAACCACCTTCCTAAATAGGAAATGTCGGCTGGTAAACCTATTCTATTACTAATTCAATTCTTATTGAATTATCAAAAATCAACAAATCCAGAAAAATCCAGATCGACTATATTTCCCATACAAATTGTATGGAGTTTCCAGCTCAAAAGGAAAAATATGGGCCAGACCCTTTCAAATTATTATATGATTACTTTTATATGTGAATCCTCGTGTTTCTTGATATCATGATTATCATTTCAATCATTCACTGTCTTTGTTTCTGCTTTTGACCCTACTTTTGACCCCGCTTTCTTTGTCTCACGATCAAAAATCAATGATCTAGATCATCAGTGAATTAAGCATAAATAGGGCCTCTTCACCCCTAGCTGACCCTCCCTAAGCAAGTCAAGCCATTCCATTCACTTCCTATCTTAGGATCCACTTATTTCCTGTCGGATAGCGGTAGTGGCACTAAGCCTAAAAGAGAAGGCGGTCTAGCACTACTAGGCCAAAGGGGGTATGATCTTCCCTAAGCGGAAATATATGGGTCTGGCCAGGTGATACTAGTCCTAATTAGAAAACTAGATATCAAAAAATAATAAAAATAGATGGTCAGATCAAATAATACTAGTTCTAATTAAAAAACTAGATATTAAAATAATAAAGATAAATATAATTAATAAACTAGTTAAAGAAAAATAAACTATCTTTTTAAATAAAAAATAAATAAATTCTAAAATAGAAAATAAATAAAATAACTTAATTTACTTAAAAAAATCAGCTAAGAATAAAAAGATTTTATTTATATTTAATTTATTAATAATCTAGATTATTAATTTTTAATTATCAGACAAAGAAAGCAGGGTTAAAAGTAGAATTAAAAATAAAAATAAAAATAAAAATAATAATTATAATATCAAGAAACACGAGAATTTATATATAAAAGTAATTATATAATAATTTAAAAGAATCTGATTTATATTTTTTTTAAGCTGGAAACTCTATATAATTTATATAGAAAATATAGTTAATCTGAATTTTTCTGAATTTATTAATTTTTAATAATTTAATAAAAATTAAATTAATAATAAAATAAATTTATCAGCTGACAGATCTGTTACGGACCCCTGCTAGTTAACCTACTAGTAAGGCGGACTCGCCAGGCAGAAAGCGCCGATAAGGGCAGCGCTCGGGCAAAACCAAAACTGTTAATTAGTATAATCGCGGATTGCCAATACGACGCCCGGAACGGCCTCGCACCACGTGACTACGGTATATGGACAAACATATGGTATACGGCATACCATCATGGTCTACAACTACTATACTGGTATACGGCAGACCCGATGGTATACGATAT